TTTGGCACCCCGCAGCTCTGGGGGTGCTTTTGGCTCTTTTCTCCTTTGCAGCACAAAGCCCAACTCCAGATGGGCCCAGCAACCAGGCCGGGCATGCTTTGTTAGCAGGAACAAGAAGATGGCGAAGGTCAGCTGGGATGGCAGAGTGCAGGGTGGCAGGGGGCCAAAAGGTCATATATGGGGGGAGATAGGCGGGAGGGGGGAATTGAGGGGCCCCTGTGGTTGTAAGTGCAGGCTGGCTATTAAGCACCTGAATTTTGATCACGTGACCATGGGGGCACTGCAACAATTGTAACTTCAGGCATGGGTTGTAAGTCCATTAGCGCTGTTACTTCAAATGGTCACTGAACAAATTGTCGTAAGTTGAGGGCTACCTGTGTTTAATTAATGAAGCTATGTGTAACTGAATTTTTATCAGTTTATTGTGACAAATGGCAGGTGAAATGTAAATATCCTTGTAAAAGTAGTTAATTATTAATAAAAATTTTGTTGGGATGTGGAATCTCTTAAAAATATTCTGTGTCTTCAGTGCATTACTGCATTGAAGTTTACTGTTGCATTGGCTTACCAGAAGAAAAATGGGACTTTCCCATAACGACTGTGTGGAATTGTTGCAATTAGCTTCTACAGGCTGTTGCTGAAATAGGCTGAAATGACAAAAATTAAAACCATGTAGATGGATTCTAAAATTTAAAACTTTACCTTTTGAAATTAAACTGTTTTCCTTAGTTAATGTTTACATGTTTGAAAAAACTAGAAATGCAGTGAGGCCAATCACAATGGGACAATTCTGAAAGTTGGGGAGGGGGTTAAGTCTGATTTACATACAACCCATTAAAAATACAATCACCTAATGTTGCACTGATTGCGCTTTCCTTCAGCGTTTCTGTGCACTGCTGATGTAGGTTGATTCTAGTTTAATATATTTTAATGGCTTGATCTAAAATCTACAAGGGCTTCTAGATTCAACCTGTCCAGATAACATATTTTAAAGCACCATTCAGTGTATTTAGAGAGAGTAGGGCTGATAAGCCATGCTTGTTCTGGTACAAATGCAGTATGTGGATGTCCCAGATAGATAGGATCAGGGCTGAACAAAAAGTCTCATTAGTTGAGGGAGGCAGAAATCATTTCTGCAAACAAAACTTCAGGTGAATGTAAAAGAACGTTTCATTAGTGTGTGTGTGTATTTGTGCCTTCAAGTCAGTCGTGACTGCCTGGACAGTTCTCTGCAGGTTTCTTGACAAGATTTCAGAAGTGGCTTGCCATTGCCTGCTTCCTAGGGTTGAAAGAGAGTGGCTCAAAGTCACCCAGCTGGCTTTGTGCTTAAGGAGGGACTAGAACTCATAATCTCCCAGTTTTTAGCCTGGCGCCTTAACCACACCACCAAACTGGCCTGCTTTCTCTCTCTGTCTTAAAGCAGGAGTATTTAATAGACTGAAGCATTCCAGAATAAGAAAATCTTTTCCACATTTTGTACTACTACAGTAGCTTGTTTGTTTCCCGATGAGATGAGAGAAACACCATGCGCCCAAAGTTAGGGCTTCCTGTGTTCTGGAAACCCAAAGCAAGGGTTAATTTGAAGCTAATCCTCCATTACAACTTTCAGCTCAGAGATTCAGGGCTGCTTCAGGAAGCCTGTTTTACTTTTACCACTATACTGGTGCTTGTCTGTCCAACGCATGGATGGTGAGAAATGCCAAGTCTTCCCATACTTTCTATAGCAGAGCAGCTCTGGTCCCGTCAGTAACAGGTCTGGGAACTCTTCTTTTTTTTTTAAGTCACATATCACTCCAGTGCAATGGTTAAACTTTCACATGCTATTGGAGTCACAGTAGTAATTTCATACACCCAGGCACTGAAGCAACTCTGCCTGGAACCTGCTAAAGCATCTGAGTGCATTTAGATTTATAACCACAACAAAAGACGGTAATTGTTTAGTGACAAACTGGGAACAAATTGAAACCTTTGGTTAATTATTCATTATTCTGTAAAACCTGAGAAACAATTTCTGCAAAGTACAATAAAATAAAACTAACTTACACAGTCTGTTGATAGTTGATCTGGTAAAAGTATTCAGTCAGGGTGTTATGAGATCTGGTAATAAAACCCTAACTGGGCTACAGAAGAGCCAAAATAGTGTTCTCAGAGATGTTCTCTTTAATGGAGAGTAATTCAGGGGAATTTCGGGGGGGGGGGGGAGATTTGCAAAGCATTCTGTTTCACTGCTAGTTTTTTTTTAAGGATGTTTTAGAAAGCACCCTCGTGCTTATGAGGTTTATCTGTTTGGAAAAGCACTTGCATGATATATCATCATCTGGGCTCTTTGACTTCTAAATAATTCACTAAAACCAATCAAACACCCACATTCAAATCCAAACTCAGGTTCAGAGTTGCACTTGGCACCTATACATAATTTTGGCTATATGTAATAATGGTATTGCCAATGTTAAAACAGTTCAACCCGTTCAGCTGTGTTCACAGCCAAAGAAACTTGAGCACTGAAGGAATCTCTGGCATTTGACCCAGTTAACGCTGGTTTAAACTTGCAATGTGGGTAACAGCCTATACATTTGCTACTAATACAGAGTATACTTCTTTGGCTGTTTACCATTTATAATCAATCATGCTAACAACTTCTTGCATCAGTGTTACTTTTTAAACACTACTTGCTTATGGAGTTAAAAACTGAAGAACCAAAATGGAACTGATACATAATCTCTTTCTTGAATCAGGATTACAGAGGTAGGCTCTGGCTCATCCAAATTCTTCCTGAAATAATGACACATACCTTAGATAAAATTTAACACTAACCAACATTTGCTATTAATGGGGCTTTTGGGGCTGAGAATTTTGAGCGTATATCATGAATATTCACACCAAATGGTTGCTCTTAGAGGAGCCTGAATATTAAATGTCTAATAATATGGGCATCACCAGTCTAATCCATCTCTCCCCCTCCCCATCCCTGCAAATTTGTAGAAGACAAATTAGTGAGATTGCTTCCATCATGACCACAATTTCCCAGACACAGTATCCCCAGGTAAGGCTATTTTAAAATAAATTATAGGCCTACAACCCCTTGCTATCTTTAAGTGACTATGGGACACTTTGACTTTCCTGGTAAGATAAGGCTAGAAATTGGATATTTGTAGCAGGCCAGTTCTCCCTTTAGACTCTAAAGGTGGGTTGAGTAGAGATTCTAGGTGTACCCAAGTGGACATCAATGGGCACCATGCTGCCTACACCTGCATTAGAAGAATGGGCAAAGAAAGTGCCCAGGAAGCCCACTAAAGACAGAGCAACCAGTGACAGTCATTTGATCTGAAATATAATTGGCAAAAGAGCACCTATTTATGATTGTCTCTTTGCAAATATACTCTACTGGCAACATCTATTTCTAGTACCCTGTATTGTCACAGGTTGTCTTGTTGAGTTTGAGAGAGCACAAAAGCAACTTGTCTCATACATGGTTTAAATCATTCATGTCAGCCATGAGAACTCCCCCTCAGGCTTACCAGAGGGCATCTGTTGTTTTATCTGCAGCATGGCAGAGGGGCAAACATATACCTCCAGTTGTTTTGAATAATACATACGTAACATAGTTGTTTGATGCACTGAACAGCCTGCTACACTTTTAGTTTTCAAGCTGCTTTTACATTTCCTAAGAGAAAATAAATCTCTTGTCAATGGATTCACCACCTACCAGATATTAAACTATCTTGGATGTTTACTTACCAGAAGCAGGGAATTGAGCTACCAAGGATTTAACATTCAGCTAAAGCAGAGTTTTTCAACCTGGTGAGTTTCAGGAGTTGTATAACAAATCCATAGCAAGCATTGTGAAGCAGGAAAGATGGACTTAAAACTACACTCACAATGAAGAAATCTCACGAGGAAGTTAGCATATAAATCAGATTAAATAGCCCACTATAGTCTCCTTTAGAAAGGGTTTCTAAGGTCTTGGGCAAGATTAAACACTGCTTATTGTCTACTATTAAATCTTTTTAATACCAAAATGGAATTGAATAAGCAGAATCTCTACCAAGACAAATCCCATTTATATCTTTAAAAAAGGAGGGATTTCCCATTTTTCACTTCATTAAATCCATGAAGCTTCTTTTGGAGCATACTAAGTATCCCAAACATAATGCAGAAAGCACCAGCATTCTTAATGGTATATAAGAACCTTCCAATATTGAATATGCATTGCCAATTTCCCATTGGTGAAGTGGGAATGAATGCATGCTAACCGCTAGATTGAATAAAACATGAACTGAGCTGAAGTTCAGTCAGAACATCTCATTTAAAGATAGATAGAATGGCTGATTAATTTTCCATAATTAAATTTATTTCCATAATTTCCATTTCCCTGCCCAATTTCGAAAATGTTATCATACACAATGTCTACTTTCACTTCTTTGAGCAAACTGACTACCTTGGTTGTAAGAACTGAATCAGTACAACTTGACTATAGTGGGTTCAAGTGAGAAATGGCTCTTTTTCGTAAAGATGATCTACCTTTGCCCAAATAACCTTGGCAATGAAATCTCACTCCTTAAGACAAATGTTATGAATCTGGCACACCACAGCCTTAGGGATGTGAGGACTTAATGAAATGAAACAAGATTCTTCCCAGACATCCAAACCACTTTCACTGCAGACAACACGTTACAAAACTTTTTCTAATACCTGAATTGATTTTCCATGAATCAGGTCTTTTCATAGTATTTCCATCACTGTATTTTTCAATACCTTTCTGGAGATATATGTAAATTCAAGCAATGTACATTCAGCTGCGCTTTAGACTAAGGGTCACAGCCAATCACAAAACACTCGCAGAGTCTGCTAAAAATGTCAATTCGTAGACTAAGAGGCAATGAAACAGCTGGGGCACACATTAAAAACCATCTTTGCTTAAATTCTAATCCAATCATCCCAATTCACTTGGAAATCAATTTTTAATGACAAAGTATTTCACAATGAACGTATGACACAATACAGAGAAATTCACAGTAAGTGAATTATCATGCTTTAAGTAGCAAAAGCTTCTTATATTCACTAACACCTTGCTGTCTAATGTTTTCCACATTCTGAAGAAAAAAAAAGGTTCGAGCAATTACCCCCATCTTATGATCAAAACAAAGATGGGGGAGTTAAAGATAGAGGCCTTCTGGAGTGCCTTCCTGTTTCTTATAAAGAACATTTTCTTTCGATTTTTTGAAATCTTCATTTGTTACTTTCATCCTTCGTTCACGCAGAGCCATCAAACCAGCTTCTGTGCAAATTGCCTATTAGAAATGGAAGCATTTGATTAGAAAATCAGGAGTCTGACGTGTATGAAATGCTAAGAAAAAAATAACCAAACAAGCTGGTGCCCCTTATGTATCCTGGAAACCCTAGTGTAGAAAGAACACCATTAAATATTCATTAATTAAAAACAAAGTGATTTGATTGTAATGTGCAGCAAACATTACTAACATTTGATAATCTTTCCCTCCCTAATCCTAATTCTCCTGAAGGAGTGTAACATGCTTGTCATAACAGAGCTCAATGAAAACATTTACTAGGTGTATAAGTCAACTTCCCTAACCACCAATATTCCCAGTGAAAATAGTTCAGCCCCACCAATTCTCTATAAGCTTTTTACACCAAGCATGCAAACTTGTGAAGTTTTAACTTCTTCCCTGACTCTCAGAATAGGTGGCCAAATGTTCATTTTCCTCTCCAAAGATGTTTTTCCCCCTTTCAACTATGGCCACTAACGAAAGAGCCATTCCAAATATTTATAGAGGGGAAAAAAAGAATACCCCCTTCACTCAGAAAAGATTGCCGTAACAATGAGATATTTACTATCAAGAAACAGAAAAACCAGTGCTTTTTTAAAAGGGTGAAAAGGAGAAAAGAAAGACAGTGACTAGAGCTTTCTGGAAGCAAAACTACCAAGCCACAGTTTCTTTAACAACTGGTCAAACGAAAGGCATTCAGTGGAAAGGGATGCAACATACTGTGTAACACAACGGTTCAGTTGATTCACTCTGGAAGAAAACAAAAATAATTGGTTATCAAGGATTCTACCTTTATATCTGCCCCAGACAGATCATCTTTAGCCATTATCAACTCATCTAGAGTAACATCATCTGCCAAAGTCATTCTGCTGGTATGAATCTGAAAGATGCGCTTCTTTGTTTTTTCATCTGGCAGAGGAAATTCTATCTTCCTGTCAATACGTCCTAGGATTTAAAAAAAAAAATCAGTTGTTTCAGATTTTTGCCTGGGGAATCAAAAATAGAAACCTTTCCTTGGAAAATAACTTCATACTTAGCCTTTATATTATCTCAGAAAATACTAGTGCATCTTTGAACAGTTATGATACATAGAATTTCATTTTTATTTCCATCCCACTTCACAAACACAATTATTTCTCCTTATTAATGGAGCAAAACATCTCTTCTTCCCTCAGATTTCATAAGCCACACAAATATTTATATTTCAAATTATTTCATGTATTGTTTATACAGGAACTTTCTTACTCAATCCCAATCGCATATAGATCTAATTAGTATCAGTTGTTGTACTGTGCTTTTTCAGACTTGGCCCAAGATCTGGCAAATAGGTGTTATTTACTTAGATTCTTTTTTTCAGCCATCTATGTCCCACACTTTCAAGCTCTTTGTGTGAAATGGCAGTCATGACACTTCCCCAAAATTTCACATGTTCCCACCATCCCAAACAGGATGAAGAGCCCTTAAGAAAAGCTCCTAAGGGAGAATCTTTTCTTTGTATGTGTGTGTGCTTACACAATATTCTAAAATCTAATATATGGCTGTTTCTACCCATTCCATTTGGTCCAGCGAGAGGGGCATGCTCCGGGTACTGTCTGCTAAGGAGCATCAGTTGGCAGGGCCCAGGAGGAGAGTCTTTTCTGTCATATCACCCACACTCTAGAATATCTTCCCTTCAGAGATGGCCCCGACCTTGCTGGCTTTCCACAAGGCCTTGAAGACCTGGTTCTGTGCTTGAGCCTGGAGCCCTGGATGTGTGATGAGCCTGTTTCCTGGTTGTGTTGACTGATGTTTTTGTAATCTTCTCTTGACTGTTATGTATTTTATGTTTTTTTGTATATTTTATTACTTTTAATATTGTTAGCTGCCCAGAGTCATGTATTTGAGATGGGTAGCTTTAAATCAAATACATACATACATACTAAGCTTCAGAAAGGAAGCTGTAAAATTAGTTAGTAGAAAATGCAGTAATTCATTCTCTGGAACATTTTGTTTTTTCCCCAGAGCAGGCCAATCTGAGTGAAAAAAATAATCTTTTGGAATAGCAAAAAGTTACAAGCTTTGGACATGATCTGACTCCAAAGTTTCTTCAAACCATTCCCAGATCAGCTTGGATCAACCCATTCTAGTGAAAAACACAGAAAGCTCTAGGGAAACACTATGACGTATAGGGAATAGGCCGTACTGTTTTACATAAAACTAATAATTAGAAGCAGTTACATTTTAAGTAGTTAAATATGATCATCATACTTTTTACCTGGTCTGATTAAGGCTGGATCCAGTGTTTCTATTCTGTTAGTAGCCATGATCACTTTTACATCTCCACGTGAATCAAACCCATCTAACTGGTTCAGCAACTCCAACATTGTTCGCTGAATTTCCCTTTCTCCCCCTGAGTTGGAATCATACCTTTGGAATAGGAAAAAAGTACCCAAGTTAAGGTTGGAATACCTACAGAAGACAATCTTTCTCTTTACATACAGTAATCCACTGAGAAACCATAGGGCAATGAATTACAGTTTTGGTAGAAGCAAGGAGTACAGAGAAGACTCTTTTCTGGGGTAAGACACCACTTCTGAAGTTCAGTAGAAACTCTCTGATTAGGGTACGACAGGTTCTGCAGCTAAAACGATACTATGAACAGCATTTCTTCATTCCCCAGATAAGATACTGCAACACTGATCCACAACAGCATTGCCATATTTGTAGCTACTTTTCTGCTCCAAGCCATTCCTATTCAAAGATGAACCTCCAAAAAAGAAATATTAGTTAAGGAATGATTATAAGTACATACAGAATTCATCACCTCCTTTCCCTCCCATATTCACTCAGCCAATCCTAGAGATTATCTTTTCTCAACAAACAAGCATACAGTCAGGTCCAGAAATATTGGGACATCGACACAATTCTAACATCTTTGGCTCTATACACCACCACAATGGATT